CTTTGTCCCACGCTCGTGTCATGTTGATGAATTCACCTTTACATTTCATTACCGAGCTTAAAAATTCACCATCATTATTAACTTATCGATAGCAGATTATTTACGCATCATTCTGTAGTACGTATTCTCACCTGAGAAGCTAAGAATTCCCGACTGTGTTCAGCAATTCAATGCAGTCACTCGAATGCCCAACCTCGTTCCCAGGATCTTTTCCCTGGCTTGGGAAAAGACCCTGAGAACGAGGTTATCGAATGCCGGATTAGGAAGAATTAGTCTCGTTGCGTTTACATTATAGGACTTACTGCACAATCGCCGACTTCGTAATTTCATATGGGCAAGTTGATTTGTTGAATTTCTCTTTATTCTTTGTTGTCTTTTAATTTGATTCACATTCCCAAAATGATTCGCCCTTTTATAATTATTTTAGCCACACTGATATCAGTGCAGTGATCAGTGCATGTTCAGTGCTTAACACATACCATTACTCATTTGTTTTCAGGTCTAATTAAACGTGTGCATATCTTATCATTCAAGCATGATCAACAAGCATATGTTATCACATGCATTGTATAATTATTTCAAGTCGCTTTTACCATTTGACGTGTCCATAAGTCTGTGGAGCAAAATTACTTTAACTGTTGCGCACTGGCCTTGCCTCAGGCAAGCCAGTGCGCGAAAGACTGGGGTTATCTGGCGAAAAATAAAAGAAACCGGCGAGCGAAGCCAGCTGAACGGAGTCTAAGGCGAGCGGAACGTACGGAGAGCGGCCTGAGGAGAAAGGAAAGCCTACAAGATCATACTACACAAGTCACTTATGAGTGCTGCCTTTCGAAAAACGTTTTCTAAAAAACGAGACACATCAGCCGACAATACGCCTAAATGCCATGGACATTTTAATATAGTTCAGGCACCTTATGCCCGCTTACACTTCAGGTACACTGTTGCAAGCTAAGGAAAACGTGGTCTCCTCGCAGCCTTTTTTTTTTGGGGGGGNACGCAACGCTTCCCCCAAAGAGAGAGTTGCGTGACGTCGCAAAAAACGGTTGCGGAGGAGACTAAGGAAAATGCCGCAAAATGGCATACGGCTTTGCCAATGCGAAGGTCACTCAACAGTGTTTGTTTATACGTGTTTACATTTTCGTCACAGGTTTAATTCCTAGGATGTAAAAAGCGGTTTCCATGACGCGTGCAGTGGCTTCCAGGAGCAGCATTCGTCCCATGTCGACTTTGATAACCTCGCCTGTTTTACGGTCCTTCTCGACGCAGTAACAGCTGTCGTAAAACTCGGTGAGAGAGGTGGCCATTTCGTACATGAATTCGCACAGTGTGTGCATCAACAGATCGTCCAGGACTCGGCTGAGGATCTCGGGAAAGCGAATGATACACTTGCCCAGTTTCCACTCCTTCGGATGATCCAACGAGATTTCCGTATTGCTTAAACTTGATTCCAGGGTCTTGCGGTCGATGTTGGCTAAGCGCATGATAGACCTGGAAGGAAAAAAAATATATTCCTTGTTTAGTCACCCGGCGAATAACGCTCGAAACCTAACTATGTTTTTGTGCACAAGGCTAGTTAACGTAAGGAAAGAGCTTTGTAGCCAGGAAAAATAGTACCTTACTTAGCCAGAAGATTGACGAAAGGTCGCAAAGTCGCGGAGTTACGGGAACAAGCCGAGAAAATTTCAAGGTACTGGTCTAAAACTTTATCTCCAATAGATCAATTCTTACCTTATCCGAGTATAAGCGTACAGGAGATACACAGCTGTGTTCCCTTTGTCGTCTAACATCTGATAAAGCAACAAGACTCACAAGCTTATCGCAAGGAACTCTGATAACCTTCCAAGAATTAGCGTAAGAAAACACTAAAAGATTCCGAAAGCGCTACAACCGTCGAGACTTCATGATCAGCTGACTGGTTACAGTTTTAAACATATTCATGTCGAAACCTTCAATTAAGGCGTTACGGTATAGCACCACAAAGATTCGATTCAACGCCCTTGTTCGACTCAGCATCCCCCACTCCTCAATTAAACGCGCCCAACCGAAGGAAGTTTTGAAATAAGGTATCCAATTAGCTCCCTAAAAAACGCTCGCTGTTTCGTTTAGTTTTGTGCATAGATCAATTTATGTTCTTATACTAGAGTTATTTAAACCCAATAGAACGCATCTACTCAAATTCACTGTCTGTAGTTCGCGCATTTTAGCCTTGTCAAAGTAAGAAAATTTAAAAAGTGCCGCGACCCGGAAATGTGTCCCTCCCTTGAAGTGCAGAAACATAAAACGCCCCGGGCGCTAACAATGCAAATCAGTTTTTACAGTAAGCATTACCTTATCGAATGAAAACACATAGTCGTTGACTCTGTTATGTGAAAGATCTGCGTATTTAATGCAGCCATAAGCTACAGCTTCTTGAGCTGCGCTTAACTCCTCTGCACTCAGAACCTATGAAAATAACCACACAAGAAACTAGTAAGTCGACGCGTGCAAATGGCAACGGCAAAGTCGCATCACAGCCAATACACCAATAGCAGTAGGGTCGATAATACAAACATTGTGATAAACAAGACAGGACTCGAAGTAAATTTCACGTAACCAGAGGCAAGCGAAAAAAAACGCATTAGAGAAAGAAGCGTGGAAAAAAGTAGCAACATGTATCCCTGCGGAGGACAAGCACGGGAAAACTAAAACCACGCAACCGGAAGAAAGCGCGGGAAAATATAGAACATCTAGATGGTGCTAGCGCGCTTAAAAAGATGCGAGAAGAGCGGGAAAATCAAGTCCAAGTATAACTGGAGGTACGCAGTGTGGTTTAAAACCACGTAACCTGTGAAAAGGTCAGGGAAAATCGAATCCAAGTATAACCAGAGGAACGGGGTGCATCGAAAAACCACGTGACCTGTAGAAAGCGCGGGAAAATCAAGGACGTCAAGGCTGAGAAGGTAACAAATTCACTTCGACTGATTAAAGCAGTCATGAGTTAAAAGTGATACCAACCTGATCTCGTTCCTTTTCTTTCAGCTTGTCAAGTGCTCTTTTAAGACCTTCATCGAGAAGGTCAACAAGACGAACTGTGTCGCCAGCTCTGGTCTTGAATTTCTTTCTGGAAACAAAAAACATTACAAGGTAGTTTGAAACGGTCGTCTGTTTTTGCAATGTTTTAAGGAAACTCCAAATACGTAATAGGAAAATTGAACAACAGTGTGAACATCTTGGTTTACAATGTTTAACAAATGGCAGGAAACGACTACGATACGAAGTAAGGCCGACGCCAAAAATATGCCGGGGAATACCGGGATTATATCATGAACAAAAAAAGTCAAATGTTCATATTTGGCTAGGATTTTACCGAAGTTGTAGTAACGCCGTAATTTATTTAATCGTTCGCAGATGTTTCTTCTCATCAAAAAAGAGAGCATTCTCTGGAGTCACTACATCTGAAAATAAACAAGTGACAAGACTGTGTCATTATCAGAGAAGTAAAAGAAGTGCTTATAATGACAGCATTTACTTACTTGTCTTCACCAAGGACGACTCCAAACCCGACGTGGTCCACCCGTGTTACTTTGGGGTCATAGACCCCGGCCTCCCTTGAAGCTCCGTAGACAAGTTTAAAGTGATCTCCCTACAAAAACAACATGCACGTGACCACACTGCTGGCCCGTGAACGACAAATAGAACCCAGTACGGGAGATGCGATATTTGCGTTCGCAAATGTTGTAGAGCCAAATATTTAGAAACTCGCGTATGTGGAACACTCGATTCGTGAACGCCTCTTCCGTTTGCCTTGGAAACGTCTCATTCTAGAACTTTGTGTTGAGAAGTTCACATGTGAACATGTTTGTGTCGTTTTCGTGACCTTGGCTTCTACCTCACCTTGATAGATCCAAGGTTACCTGTTGCTTAAGATTACTCTATTTTTCGAGCTTTTAGTTGCTTAATCTCGGCTTGTCTTATCAAGTCAGCTGCGTTTGTTTAGGCATAGTTTAGCCCCGGTTCAGACGCCGTACTTCACATGAACCGAATCGAATTCATTGAATTAACTTCATGTGAAGTACGGCGTCTGAACCGGGCCTTAGGGTTTACATCCGAATACTTTGTTTTGTTCCACCTGGTTCACCCTTAGCTTGCGTGCCGGGCGTAGCTAGAGTTAGCATCAAAGTGGGTGCATTGTTAAGTTGTATGTAGCAGAAGACATAGGAGTCCAGAAAATTAAACTCTGCAAAACTTCAAGTTTAAGAGTCCCAATATCTCTCGCTGGTGTCAAACGAGTTCCAGCTAGTCCCTAACAGCAAATATTCTGCTGTATTCCGACGTGCAGAGTCTTATTGCGTACTTCCACTTGACTAACCTGTCCAGCATCAGTGACATAAATGAGCCAATCTGCATTCTCATCGTGAACACGCTGTTGAAGAGCGGCGAGATCAGATGTGTCGTAGGTGAACCCGCCATCAGACTTGACAATGGTTAACGGAACCTTGTAGCCCTGAACAAACACAACTTTACGGCCTTCTTCTTCTACAACTTTCCCTGAAGACAGAAAAGAAGCAGTGAGATATGGTTTTTAGACTTATTGCAATTTAGTCTTACTCATTTCTCATGAGACACGGTGGCGCCAAGCGGCCAGGAAACCACACATGAAGTGGTGATGTTCGCGTGCCTAGCACCGAATATCCTAAATGCGCCTTTACTTTTGCAAATAATTTAATTCATTTTTTGTTACAGGTCCGCGAAACTTAACTGAGCGAAAATTCATCCCGTGAAAGAAAAGGTACATATTTCAGGGCCTCCACAGACTAGACATTTAATTGTCATCAACAACTAATTGAGTCCGATCCGAGTATTCCACACATTGGAGTGTTTACAGTCATCGATGCTCTAGTCAGTTTACCGAGACCTTGGGAACTAACGTTCACTACGCATGCCCAAAACACAATACGCATGTTCAAAACATTGTCTGACAACGGTCCTGACAACGCAGTTTCGACACCGTAGTTATCAACAACTAAACCACTGATTTCCAGACAAGGGGAAAAAGCGTCAACTATTAGACTTAGTTGTCAACAACTAAAGCTGTTTCCCTTTTCGAAAAGGGAAACTGCTTAGTTGACGATAACTTAAAATTTAGCGTTTAGCTGTCAACAGTTCATCTCACACACTGCTTTTTTTTAGTTGTTGATCAGTAACACTGACTTACTGAGTTGTCGATAGCAAATAGTTATCGACAATAAATGTCTAGTCTGCGGATGCCATTAATCGCTCGTTTACTATAACGCATACCCTCGTCACATGTCGCGAAAATTTTGTAAAGCCTTTAGCGAAATTCAAACCTCATCAACACAAAAGACATTAGCTAAGGGCTTAAGTTTTCCTTCTTTGTAGCTGCTTTACTGCAGTCTAGCTAAAAGACAGTCACTACAACCACTGTCAATACCATGCAGAAAAATTCGCTCGGTAGAAGTAGAAAATCTGACCTCTGGCGCTTGTTTTGATCAAGGAGTGGTCATGGACAGCTGTCAATCAGTTCAGAACTACCTTGTATTATTATCTATTACTCAGTGGTTTCCCAAACGCTCACCACTTAAAAACCAAGTAAAATCAGAGCAGTCATGTGCGAGACATCGATCTATGCATCTGTAGACCTGGCTGTCTGCCCTTTTTAACTCTCTAGTTATTTCAGGTAGTCAGGCCCCTAACTTTGTTTATGTATAACTTTGCAAAGTATTTCTGTGAGACCAAGGGGAAACATAAAGCTTGTTGTTGCAAGTATCAAACATGTGTGTGCAGTGCTCTGATCTACAACTGGCTGAGAAATCTAGAGTATTTTGCAAGGTTCAGTGACAAACCTTTCCTTTCAAGATCTGCAACCACCTTAGGCATCATTTCCTGATAAAATGACTCTCCTCTCTCTATCAGGGTGACATCCAGCCGCTGGTATATTTTGTCAAATTCTGTGAAAAAGTAAATAAAACATGACAATTTGATTGACCTATGGCGTCACTGTATGAATCCAGACTTACAAGTCTTTTTTTCCAAATTTTTTCCCCTTTTAGATTTCCAAGTCCTTACACTTTTGAGCTGTAATGAAAGAAAATACTTGTCCTTTACCTTTCCTAGATACATCACAGATTAAATCCCAAGCTTTTCTCACATCTGGATTGCCCCCTTGAAGTTCCACCACTTTTTCATATGCCACCTTTTTAAATGCTTCATCGCTGTCAAACCTCTTTTTGGATTCCTACCAAAAAAAGACAAGGAAGCACACCAATGTCGGCTTGTCAAACATGACGACAACAACTAACGTACATAGCCTCTCGGACTGCTACCATTGCCACTGAGTTTCAGCCTACTTGCTTGTCAAAAAAATTCAAGAGCAGGGCTGTCGTTAGGTTTTGAGTCACCTGTAGCCTTGCTCTCCACACCCGTAACAAACTTGTTACTTTGCGGGTGAATTCTATCAATAATAGGCAATTTTACCTGTAGCATCAAGGGAAAATCAAGCATACTCAGGCATAACAAGTGTTACAGGTTACAGCCCTTAATGACAGCCCTGAAGAGAAAGAAGGACTGTGCTACCTTATAGAAAGCCTGCAGGTCACTGATGGGTGGAGAAACTTGCACATAGTTTGGAAATTTGTCCTGAAGATGTGCAATCAACATGCCAAACTGAGTTCCCCAGTCTCCAATGTGGTTGATACTGAAAATAAACAAAATAAGAAAAGTTATAGACTAACTTTTTTCCCCTTCGATTCCTTTAAGCGCAAAGTGTGCGGGTCATAAATCGAAGGGTAAAAAACAAAGATCCATAACTTACAGTAAGAACCAAGAAGACTATTTTGTTAGTATGTGGTATTGATTATATCCCTACTGTGTGTCTGAATAGAACGGAATAGAATAGAATAGAATAGAATAGAATAGAATAGAATAGAATAGAATAGAATAGAATAGAATAGAAAAGAATAGAATAGAATAGAATAGAATTCAGTAGAATATGGCCCGCTAAATTGACTGATCACAGGATGCTATAGTAGCTGAGAGATATAATAAGGCTACTTTTTTCATTAATAAGAGAAAGCCATTCTGACTGCTTCTTAGGAAAAAGAATGGGTTTTAATTTTTTAATTCGTCAGTAATTATTCTAATAGGGTTCCTTTTGTGAAAACGGCAGTTTATTTAAGGTGGCAGTCAACCAAGAATGATCTGCACGATCATTTAACTGTAAATTTGTCTTTCTCACCGTAGCACATCATGGCCCACATATTCCAGAAGGCGACAAAGACTTTCACCAATAATGGTGGACCTCAGATGTCCCACGTGCATTTCCTTGGCAATGTTTGGTGATGAAAAGTCAACAACGCATCTCTTTTTCACTGGGACAGCAGGAGGTTGAACTCCATTTGAAAGGATGTCTTTCAACAGTGATGACACAAAGCTATGGCTGAGGGTTATGTTGATAAAACCTGCTCCAGCTACTTCAACCTAAAATAAAAGATCGCAAAAAAAAAAAACTTAACTGGTGTATATTTTAAGACAGATTATAATTTATCCAACAAGAGTTTTTTAAACAGTTGTTTGACTCACCTTTTGTACAAGATCATTCTGAGGTACATTTGAAACAATCTGGACAGCTATTTCACGGGGATTACTTTTGATTCCTTTGCCCTTCAGCATCTGTTAATAGAAAAGAAAACAAGGCAAGTCCCCATCTAATGTTTATTACAATGTTTGGTTCCAGAAACCATCCATATACGCATCCAACTGCAAGCAAGGTGTTTGAAGATTCTGATGGGGTGAGGGAGGGGGGGGGAGCAAAAGTCAAAGATTTTAAAGGAACATATGAAGCCATTGAATTTAAATTTGTAGAAGGGTGGGGAGGAACCAAAATGCCTTCCACTGATATGCATTTTTCTGGAACAATGCATTTATCTATGATTAAAAAATGGGACTAAGAGAGTCAAGTGGCATGCTTGACTGCAACTACTATTTATCATTACAACTACTTCTTATAATCTTTCTGCATGTATCACAGATGCTGTCTCACCTGGTTAATTGCCATAGCACTATTACATTGATAGTCTCCAAACTTATCACCCTGAGAAGCCTGTACAATCACTGGTGCGTCTGGGAGATCAGGGAAAGTCAATGCAATTGCCTTTCTAAAAAGTTCATTGAGAGTGAACTGACAGTTGGTCATAATCCTTTTGGAATTGGCCTTCTCTTCCTTGATGCTCTGAAAATTAAATACCAGGTCAAGATCAACACAAATAACCAATTCATCAAAACTGTTCACAGCAATGGCTTCCAGAAATTTTATATATATATAAATTTCAAATAATGAAAAAGAAAGAAAATTGTACTACAGACACTGGAATCAAACAACTAAGGAAAATTTGACTCAGGTCACATTCATTACCACTACACCCTCTGAGCACTGGGTGCTAAGAATCTGAATTTTTAAATGATACATGCTACAAACAAATGTATATATAATAAGTGTCAACCAAACAACAAAATCAAAGCTAAGTGCAAGCAAACTGGGGTGGACCTAACCACAAAGTTTACACACCCGAGTGGAACTAACCGCAACTAAACCAGAGACAGTACTGAGCTGACCAGGTTTCAGTTATATTTGTCAATTTATGTAAAACGTCATGAAATGTCTAATCTGGTTCAGGTCATTGTAATGTTAGGTTTTCTTCTCAAGCCATACCAAAATAGTCAAAGTCCATTGTCTAAATTAGTCCAAAACAGCTCAAAAACATGCTTGTAATTCCACACATAACAATTACATTAAAGAGCTTATATTATCGGCGACCACCCCATAGAGGGTTGGGAGGATAAGTAAAGGTACAGTCTGTGCTTGAGCCCAGTGGCCCATCAGGCCGGAACTTATCCAGGTTTCTGCAGCATGAAGCAACTAGGAGTCTTCTACTTTTCCCTAAATTGGCTGCTAACTAGTCCATGACACTAGTCCCCTCCACCCTGCATTTAATTTGCCAGTAGCCATTTATACACCTTGGTGAGGAGAGGCACTGTGAGAGTAAAGTGTCTTGCCCAAGAACATAATACAATTCCCCCACCTAGACTGCTCGATCCAGAGATAGTGCACTAACCATGAGGTCACCACACCTCCCTCCACACATTAGAGGGGGTACAGAGTCACAATATTACACAAAGTGTAATATTGTTATTAGTATTATTATTAAGTGTTGCAATAAGCCATTTCAGAGATACCTTTTGCCTTTGTCTCAGAATGAGTCCTCTAGCAAAACCTTCCATATGAATGAGTTTAATTTGCTTGAAATTATGCATATTTTTCATACAAATAGTTTCACATGAAGACACGTTTTGATAAAGATGTATAACACAACTTGGAAATGACTATCATGAAAAAGAACAAAGAGGCAAATGGAAGTCACATAGAGGGAGGGGAGTGTGTACAGTGTTAGCTAACATTTTACAGAACCGGATGGAAAAGTTATTATACGTATTTTAATACTAATTTAAAAATTAGTTCAAAACCACAAAACTAATTAGGGGTAAATCCTCTTACACGCTTGAGCGTTGCCATTTGATACTTAAGCTTGCTGTTCTCAGTCAAAAGCTTCTCCAGTTCCGGGTTACTAGCGCCTTCATTTTCACCATCTTCAAGCTCCGAACCAGATCCAATAGAATTCTGTAGAGCTTCGATTTTCCTCTTCAAGTTCACGATTTCATCCTCCTGAAAAAAGATGTGAGCAAAACACATATCACAACAGCACATAATATAAGAAAAGAATTTTTTAGAGTAGAAATTTACCGCTATTTTAGCGCGTTTCGAATATTCCTCGACCGTGCTACCGTCCGCCATGTTGTTGTTGGTACCACGTGGATGTTGTGACACGTGCAAAGCTCTGATTCGTGCAAACCTTGAACTTGAAATAAGACAACTTGAAACCAGCCTCAAAGCTTTTTTAGAACCAAAGGAAAAGAAAGTTCGTGGAACCACGAAAAAATTCATTCACTAATGCAATTTCCTTACAAAGATGCTTTTATGGCCTGGTTACAAAAGCTTAAGAGTGGTTACTAAGTTAAAAACAAAATGGCGACCTCTGTGGTTGGAAATGTGTTTACACCCTTCCATATAGTTTAAATCATTTAAAAGACTTCCAAATAACGTGAGCTTAATTAATTTAACTAACTGCAGAACATGGGTACCCTGGACCAGGCACAGATTGGAATTTCGACGTTCTTTCCTTCCCCCCATCCGACAGATCAGTGCGGAACAAATGGTCTTCCTCTCACTCCAAATTCCATCGTGATCATGGGGCGATTTCAGCACCTAAAGAATCTTTACCACGAGAACGTCTGTCAGTATCTGGATATCATTAGAGTCAAACATGGTGAGTAATTGAGCAAACAAATCAGAGTGGATACTTTGGGAATCCTCACATATCATAATTTTATAATAGGGTAGAGTTTTGAAACATCAAACAAATTCGGAGCCCACCCAACAAAATTTTAATTCTAAATCGTATCAAAGCATGATTCCACCCAATGTCCAACCCTCAATTTTTGTAAATCTCTATTTTTGAAGATGCCAACCCTAAGCCTTTCCCCCTCCCCCTGGAATTTACTTACCTCCGTTCCTTGCAACAATGTCAAGAAATAACAAAACATTTTACCACTAGGTAGTAAGATTAACATCTGTTTTTTTTAAGGGAATAATGGTTCCAGAAAGAACCTGTGTCCTGGGTTATCTGTACCCAAGTGGATGAAATTAATTTCCAAGGGAGAGGGGATTGTATATAAGCCTGGTAGTTTCAAAAGAAAATATGAAGGTTTACTAGAATTTCCAGAGGGATTGCAGGGTTTAAAGAAGCAAGTTCTTCCACAAAGAGGGTGTTTTCTTGCTGACTCATCTCCAATCATCTCTTGTGAGTAAATTTTAAGACGTAAGGAATCCATCTACTTCCTTCCCATCACCCCCTGCATCTTAATAACATTTTCTCACAACAGACCCCTGGTGAGAAGCCAGGTTTCCAAAAAAATATTCATACATGTACTACCTCCTCCGATCCCCTCCACAGACGGTTCTTGGTTCAAACCCCTACACTCTAGAAAGTCATATTTAGTTTCAGTTTCAGTTTCAGTTTCAATGTTTTGTCTTGAGTCCCCCACCCACCCCACCCTCTCTGAATTTCCAATTTCCCTTTTTTTTTTTTTGACTTTTGTCACAGAAAGGCTTATAGTTGCAGAGGAATTTTACTCTGAAAATTTGAAGACAGCTTTGAAAAGTGGTAAAGCTTTCCGGTGAGTTTTTTTTATGTATATAAAAAAGCTTCCCTTCAGTTACAAGCCTTGTGTGAAGAATACTTTCTCTGGGCAGCTGAATTCAGCCCAAAAAGTCTTCCATAGCATGGAGATGTACAGTGTTATCAGCAATTTTGACCTTTTACTGTTATTATGCGGGAAAATGAATTTTGCATGTGGGAATCATAAACAGTAAGTATCTATTAAAGCTTTCAAGATGTCAATTATCTGGAAGTAAACAATTTCAAATAATTATATATTTTATTTTCAATGGATACAATATCCTATCCTATCAAACAAAAATTATACTAAAAATAAATAAACTGCAAAATGTAAAATTAGCTTACAATATTATTTAATAATGCATACATGTATACATAATAGGGTAACCCGAAAACACTGA